CGGCCAAAAAAGTAACTTCCCATGGTGCAACAAAGAAGATGAAAAGCGATTATTCAAGGCAGTGGTGAATAGCATATGATGATGTATGATCCAAACAAATCTACCTTTGGCTCTCAGACAACAACACATAGGCGGCTGGTATCCTTATGCAATTAATCTCCATAATCTTTGCCTATTCAATAAGGGGGCTAATACAGAAAAAGAGGCAGACCTGTTTACACACAGGCGCTGTTTGTAATGTTGATTACTTGCTTTGTTATTGTCATCAAAGTTCGCCTTAAGATATAGCAACTCTTTCCCTATGATAAGCGAGATGGCTTTGATCTTGGTACGAGTCAGATTAATAAGATACAGAAAGAAATGCCTTATTGTTAGAATGCATGCATGCTGGAGATAATCCCTGCCCACACACAAGAAGGTAAACACACACACCATCCCACTCTATAGCGGACAAAGAAATCTTTTCCAATTGGATTTTTGAGCTCATCCTTTGATGGGAGTCTGCCCACTTCATTGATCTTATGTTATCTCAAATTGGGAACCTCTCGTCCAATAATGACAGACAGATGAAAAGTCACCCTAAGTTTTGTTATGGATACGCCTACCAAGAAAAAAAAACAAAACAAAAACAAATATAGCACAAAATAAACAGAAAGAAATTCCTAATTAAAGCTGCCCTACCTGTGAATTTCTCTCTGTGAAGTCTTATTAAGTATGCTAGTAAACCCATTACTCTCTCAGTTGGTGCATGCACGTATCCATGAAAAATTAAATTTCACACTATAATTCACCCCATTTGAAATATTTCATGTTTTATTGTTGTGCAACAGTGATTCAATAAGACCGATCATCAGGAAAAGACCCTTTAATGTCCGAGTAGAACACATCTCTAGAAAGTGACCTACATGCATTCCAATTAAATCTAATACATGTTTACACAGATTTACCAGACATGAGTAATCCCTTTTATTTAGAAACACCTGAATTACTAGTGGTGTGACCTTTTGGTTGTAGAGGTCACCTGTGAGCAGTTGAGGGGTTGGAGTTGATTGTAGTATATCTGGAGGTGCAACCTAAAGCTTCTCAGGAATGTCTTCAAAACAAGTGCTAATGTCGTAGAGTGGCTGAGTCGGAGTCCAGACCTCAGTCAGTTTATGGCAGTTTTGTAGAGAAGAATGAGGAAAATTTCCAACATTATTGAGATTTTACATCACTCCATGGCATTAGGCGTATGCTCATGGTGTTAGATTAGCCTAACACAAGTGAGAAAGGTTTAGAAAAGTAAACACAGACTTATTTAAATCCTATAACACTTTATCGCTGGCCTAACTCAGAAATAAGTACGGCATGGTAACAGTGAGTGACGCCTACTGACCGGTGGTTTAATGTAGATGCTGCCATAAACTGTAATATAAAGCTGTGAGGACACCATCTGTCGCTTTCTTTTAACCAAGAAAACAATCCTGAACCCGACTCTTGAGTTAGCATTGCCACATTAAGACGTCATGGCATCTTAGCACTGTGCTACTTTGAAATTCACATTGTCTGACCCACCAATTCTAAATTTTCTGTAGGTGTGAATGTGAGTCGAATGTGAATTGTCTGTCTCTCAGTGTAGCCCTGTGATAGACTGGTGACCTGTCCAGGGTGTCCCCTGCCTTCACCCTAAGTCAGCTGGGATAGGCTCCAGCCCCCCCGCGATCCTAGTGAGGATAAAGCGGTGTATAGATAATGGATGGATGACCCACCAGTGTCTCTGTGTTAGCCCTACGATGACAACCGATCTGTCCAGGGTTTACCTTGCCTTTTACCCACTGACAGCTGGGTTAGGTTGCAACCCCGTGTGACACTCTACAGCAAATAAAGCAGTTGTAACTAGCAGACTCACCAGATGTAAACTTTGAGTATTATCTCCCCCCCCCCATTGGCTGTGTATTCTATGTATTTTTCTCTTCCCCTTTCACTATTTGCAAGTTACTATTATCCCCTTGGCTCTGGGAAACAGCAAAAACAACCTCTGTGCAGCAACCCACATGCTAAAAATGGCAGTTGAATGAAGATTTGGACCATGTCATAAGGTAGTCCCACTTGGCTTTTTCAATGGAATGTTTTTAGGGTCTACAAAAAATATACTTACAACAATGTATGTCTAACTGGAGCATTGTCACTTCTCTTTGGTTCTTGAAGACTAAGAATGTCTTGAGCCCGATCCTAATATCAGGACTGAGACCAATCACAGGACTTTTTAACTGATTGGTATAAGCATAACTAAAACCTGATTCGTGTATACATCAACTGTCAAAAAGAATATGAACAATAGCCACAAAATCAACCACTTGATGTTTTAGTGATATTTAGGAACACTATCCTAATTTATTTCAGATTCAGTTACCACTTGCTTGCTGACGTGAGGTCAGTTAGCCTCACAGAAGTCTTCATCATGTGCTCCTTTACTAGACAAACTTCCACAATGTACTGCTTGCCAACAAGAAACTGCTTGTGGTTCAAGGGACCACATTCACTGTTAACTACAATATTAAACAGGAAGAGGCTCTACCTGATGGTGCAACCAGGTCCTACAGCTAATCTACAATACCTGACGTGTGTGTTACCTGTAAAATCAGGTATTGACAGATGCTAAATATTAAAAGACTCAGACCAGATTGGAAAAAAATTAACTTTTAAAAAACTTAATTGGGATACGCCTATTGAAGATGCTTCACCTGTCATTCAAGACACTCCGTCTTTTCAGTCTGACTGATGGGGACTCTCATAACCAATAGATGATACCAGATGGTTTGAGAGAGTAGTAAAGGAAGCCTCCTATGTTAGACTAGAACAGTATGGGGTCATCACTCATACTGTAATTATACTTGTACTTATAACAGTCATGAAATCTCTCCCCAGAATGTTTCACAATCATGAACACCTTGAGCATGTGAGCCCTGAGTCATTAATGGGCCATGTGAGTTTGGGGTGATCATATATACCTGAGACTCCCCATCAGTCAGGCAGTACTGACAAAACCTCTTGGATGAGAGGTGAAACATCTTCAAGAACCTAAAAAGAGAAGTCCAGATGCTTTTTTAAAAATTTTTTTTTTACTTAAGTTCTAAAGATGACCGTGACCTGGACGACTGGGCTTCTCCATAGACATAACAGAGATGTTTTTTTTTTTTTTTTTTATTCATGTTTGCTTGCCAGTTATGTCCCCGGGATATTTTTTTCTATTACTTTTTTGCAGAATTTTCCCAGTTAAAGGTCTCTGTAACTGTTTATTTATCTGAGGGCTGATTATTAATTTGATCTAAGCCGTAGTTGAAGTGTGTCTTTGTGAAACTGGTCCCAAATGTGCAAACTGACGTTAACACACAGTCACAGCTAAAAGATCTGTATCTTCCAAACACTGACTGTAAAACTACTGCCAATTAACACTTTGGAATTTATATTTGTAGCTGTTTTTTTTTTTTAGTTTTACTTTTCTGTTTTAATGATGGTTATATTCTGATGATCATTGCAGATCAAGTTCATGTGAAAAAAACAAAACACTTCTCTTCATTTGTGATCATTGTGGCGACAGTAATTCTGACTTCACTCACTATTTACTCAGTACAGAGTATTTGCAAAGCTTTCCCATCCAACACACTCCCATAACTGCTACTGACTCATCTGTGCAGCATGTGTATGAGAAGAATTACAATCAAGCTGTCATTACCTTGAGGCCAATTGTACTGGTAATTGTGAGAGGATGACAACAGGTTGGCCTGCATTAAGGCTCATATTCCTTTGGCTGGTTCAGCACCTGCCTGCTGGACATCAGCCACATTTTTTTTTTTCCCTGACAGCCTCAGCAGGAATGATTGATGCCTGAAGGCCTCTGAATGGTGTGTGTGTGTGTATCTCGGTGCCAAGCTGCTCGATCCATCCAGTTCTCCCTCTTGAAACTCATTTAGGCCACACCTGTCATTGCACACACTGGTTACTTGATGTTTTCCCTTATAGGCTTTCCGTCCTTTAACACATACACGCTTTCAAGATAAGCAGGCGCTGTGTGGTGCTGATAATATTTTGAAAAATGTAATCACCTTTGAGGGATTTCTGATGCAATGTAGGTTAAGAAATCTGTAAATCTACATTGTTTAGCTGATGTTGCACAATGCTTGCGGCTGACAATAGTCTTTGTAGGAAAACCGACTCCTGGCATCAGGCTGTAAAGTTGACATACATTGTTTCGGAAATACTAGGCAACTACCACAGGTCTGTGTTGTAGTGTAATTCCCATGGCCGTTTCACCCCTATTTATCCAGTCCCTGCTTACACATATCATAAGACCACCAATATGGAAACACTTAAGCTTTCTCTCCATTGTTTGGTGTCGATAATCTTAGTATTTGCTTTGTGTATGATGACCTGAATGCACTGCGGTATACTGAATTCTTTATCCTCTTTTTATGCCACACACACACACACACACACACACACACACACACCACGCACACACACACACACACACACCACACACACGCACACTCAGGGCTCTTTTAGCTCCAAAGAATTTTAAACCTCCCAATGTCCTGATACTATTGCATTTTTCATTGGTATTTTAAGCAAAGAGTTGTGAGGTCTTAGAAGTCAGCTGGCATTAATTCCTCTGAGGCAGAGGGATTCAACTTCTCCCTGGAAAGAGGCTTAAAAGAAAGTTCTCCTGCTTCCAAATGACTAAATTTCTCCTTTCTCACATATATTTTTATATTCCTGAGTGGACAGGAGAAAACTAGATAATTGAATGTGACTATGTTTAATATCCAGTTGTTCATAAAATATCTCCTGATATTTATTTTCGTCTGCATGCAAATAATACGTTGATTTGACTAGCCAGAGAAGTTGACTAATTGTCTCATTGTTCTCCATGTTTGTGGGCAATTGAGTGTCAGGGGTGCAGGTGTATACATAATACATCAAGGTAAGAAGAAATACAAGGAAACTGAGAGCATTAGTGCTGCTTTGTGGAAAAAAAAACATGAAATTTATTGTATTTTTTTTTTTCAAACTACCATGATAGCGAGCTGGAGACACAAGTGACCAGGTGTGACACAACTGAGAGGTTTTTGCAATAAATGAGACAAAAAGGCATAAATTAACTGAAATATTCTCGATGTGCTGTATAGGTGAGGTTGTATCAGGAGCTGAGGTCTAAAGTTTATTTTGTGTTTAAATTAGCTTCTCCATTCGCATCACATTTACTCTGGCTAGTTTGGCGAACCAGCGATTAGCATGCGTGTTACAGTGGGATGCCGTTTGAACAAAGCCAAATTTTTGGTACAAGGAAGTGGCTGCTGTCTGTGGCGAGCTGACGTCCAGAACGAGCCGGGCAAAGCCTCTCTCTTTGCAGAAGTCCAAGGCCTTCCGTGTCAGCTGGGACCCCAGGTTTTTGCGGCGCCAAGGAAACACCACAATCAAATGAGACATCTCCCCGTAACCATCTCCGTCTCCGGCGTCTTGAGCCAACTCCGAGCCTCCTCCCGTCACTCCGCCGTTCCAGTCCTCGAACCTGTCGCCCTCTTCCTCGCCCCTTTTCCCCATCACTGCCACCATTCCCACCACCTTCGACTGGCCGTTGATGTCTGCCTCTGCCACCCAGAATCCGTTATCTGGGTTTTCCAGGTAGTTGGCTTGAACATTTGCCATGTCTGTGCTTAGCCTCCTCGTTATGTAGCCCTCGTAGATATCAAGGCAGCAGTAATAAATGAGGCCAGCCCATGCACTGCCAAAGAGTAAAGCCTGGAAGTAGGAGCTGCCTCCCAGCACGTAGCCAGCCATGCAAATGCTCAGGGCAACACCAACATGGTCTGGATTGCTCATAGCCTTGAAGAAGGCTGGGTACACATGTTCAAGGATCCCATCACGAAACAACGACATAACCACATGTTGATCTGAGGGTCTGTATTCCCTGATGGAGAACTGAACTGCACGTTAGAGAGGGAGAGAAAGGAAAAAGAGAGGGAGGTAGTGAATGAGAGCTCAGTGAGACTAATCTTCTTGTTGTTGCAATCAGAAATTCCTGCTGGATTTCACAATGGGCTCAATATGCTCATGTAACTTGTTGAGAGAGAGGGGGCAATAATAAATACATCTCTTACTGAATTGCACCCTTTTCATTTCTTAATTGAACTCCATTATGCATAAATAAAAAACCTGGCATTTGCATATGACAACCAGAGGTGAACATCACAATTAAAATTATTATGCCATTGTTTCCCTTTAGGATTTCAAGAGTGGAAGTCATTCTGGGGTTTCTGGGATGCAATACAATTAGGTTTCAAATGTGCTAATGATAAATATCAAAGCAAGGTGAGATCCTGAGGCAACAAACAAAAAGGTCTTTAGCTTCATTGAAATGTGTTATGTGTCATCTAGGCATGTTAGTAGTGCCATTCATTTGCACCCGCGCTGTCTTATTAGTACTTTTATTCGTAATCAACACAACTGCCTTAAAAAAAAAAAAAAAGTATAAAAGATGAAGATAATCAGAACGTCAACTTACAGTTGCTTTTCTGGGCCATGCCGACTCCTTTCCCCCTTGTCTTTCGCTCACACTGAAAGACTTAATGCCGCTGCTGCTGCTGGACTTAAGCTACAGATTGTGATAATCAGCCATTCACAAAAGGGATTGAAATTAGCCTGAGCATGCTCACCTACGGGTGCACACACACGCACACACGCACACACACACACACACACACACACACACACACACACACACACGAATCAGTCTTTGCCTTGTTGTCAGTTTTCTTGACCTTTCTCAACCCCTGACCAAATGTTCAGGCCGATATTTGGTATTTTGATTGTTGGTATTGTAATTTTTATTAGCCAATTATCAAGACATTAAACGTTTAACTTTGGTTCTGAGGCAGCCAACTTTCTCTGCTTGTAGTGACTCTGTCGTGGCAGCAATGTCCTGCCCTCAGCTCCATCTGATTGGCTACACATAATGACTTAGAGCCAATCAACACTGAAAACTGCTGTTTACAGACAGGGACAGGTGAGCACATGTCAGACAGTAGCAGCTCTGGTAAATTAGCAGAGCTCTGTTTGAAGGTGAGGTAGCAGAGGTAGCAGATGTTGCCGAAGTTGTAATAAACACCACAATCTTTTCATCATCATTGGCGGTTATAAATATCGGTCCTTTCACAGTTCTCTTCATGTCTCTTGAGACATTCTGCAAGAAGCGAAGTTCAGAGTGAAAAATAGCTAATTTCAAAGTTCACACTACCACAATGACAGAATCTTCGGGAAAGAAGAAAGAATGAACAACAAGACTTCAAACCAGAGTTCAGTCGTCCTGAGCCCCAACAAGTGCAACGTATTCAGCAGTGCGGAGAAAGAAGCTCTTGTCAAGCAGGTCCACAAGCTGAAGGCTCAGCTGCAAAGAGCCAAAGAACACAGCATGAATCAGGACACAAAGATCCAGCAGCTCTCTGCCTTCATCAAATCTGAGAAGAGCAAGAATAAGACTCTGTGGGATCAAAGCAAATGTTTGACCCCTGAGCTGGACAAGACCAAAAAGTCAACAAATGACTGGTAAGATCTGTACCACAGAGAGAGAGAGCCACGCATGAAGAGAATCAGCAAAAAATGGAAGATCAGCTGGAAGACACAACTCGAGTATGAGCTGGACCACAAAGACCAGCTGATGGAAGCCTTAAGACAATCAAGTAGAGAGATCAAGCATTTACAATATTCACATCAAGAGCTTCAAGAGAGGCATGAGATGCTGCTCAGAGAACAACAGGAGCAGCAACTGCAGAGAGAAATGAGGTCTCTGTATCAAAGTGTCTCTGATCAGAATGAGCCGAGCAGCAACAGATGAACCAAAACATCCGACACAGCTGCAGCTGAGAGACATCAGCTCCACCAACAGAGCTGAGGAGGACATGTGTCAGGCTGTCCACGCTGAGGAGACACAACTCCTGGACAATGTCTTTCCACCAGGAAGAGCAGGTTGAATATTTGAACGTGAAGCCAGACTGAGTGGTTGTGGCCTGGGCTTAGCAGCAGCATAGTGATCTGCTCCACACACAGACAGGAAGATATATCAGAAGGAGAGACGAGGGAGGCCCCAACTCTGCAAACAGCTGCTGAAAACACAGGAGCAGCTGGCTGATAAGCAGAGCTACCAAGACTAGCTGCTGGGTCAAGAAAAGGACGACAAAAATCTGCTGGAAGCTCTAAGCGCTCTGTACGAATCCGTCCAACAGTGTTCAGAAGCAGCCTGAGACACCAACTACGTCTCTGGATAAAATTACAAAAACAAACAGGAATTCAAGCAGAACATGACTCCAGAAAGAAATGAGAAGAAAAAGAGGAAGAGGGAAAACAAGGAGTCATCAGATTAATAGCGTTCATCTTTAAGATTGAAAGCAAGACGGAAAGTAGCATTAAAATGACACTGATCTTCTTTTTCTTGAGGGCAGCACAGTTATTCAGAAAAAGAGTCACAAACAAACATATGTATATAAATTCGGCATGTTATCCTCCAGCCCGCCATATCCCTATGGAGGATTAAGCGGTGTACAGATTACAGAACAAGCTAAAGAGTCAACAAAAGCAAAATAACAATAATAAATGACAAATAGAACTGAAATTTGACAGTAGAAAGACTTTCTGTAAGTGATCACTTGACTTACAAAAGGAAGAAAACACTGAAGTAAGCGATGATGACATTTGTGATACTTGGAGAAAGTGACAGTTTTGGGAAAAAGTTTGTGAAATGACAGATATCTTGTATAATTACTGAGGTGTTGAGGTGTTAAATGAAAGAGCTTTCATCATTGTATAATATCTACAAGTTTTTTAGGAGTCTGTCAAAATACAGTTTGTATCCTTATATATATATCACTGATCAATCTATGTATTGTGTCATTGTACCCACACACACACACACACACACACACACACACACACAAACACACACTGTAGACCCTAAATGAGTTTGAGGTCTGCAGCCAATTTTCCAAAATATTGAGGTTTATATAAGACACTTTACAGTTAGATTGAGATCATGGCGATTTGAGGAAACACGCTTTAAAATTAATTGAAATTAATCACAGTGTTGCTTTGATTATGAAATGTAGAGTTTTTTTTTTGTTTTTTTTTTCTTACTTAATTAGCTTAGTCAACAGAGTAAAGAACTCTATCATTGGATTTCTCAGGGAGGATGAGCACAGATCCTGAATACATTAAGTCAGAAAACTGAGCAGAATGTGAATTCAGGGCTCGTTTGAGCACTTGTGGATATTTCCAACAAAAAAGAAAAGCTCTTTTCAAACCTCTTTTCGGGTGCTTCAGTTTTGGTGGTGTTCTCTCAGGAATCCACTGTGGATCTCCACACCATTTTTCCCCCACAATATAAGGTGAAAGTAAAATTAATATCGTCTAGCCCCATGACATAAAAGTGTCCTATGGCTTTGGTGACAGTGTCTTGTGCAATAACCCAGTGGCCCTCTGACATGATTAAATTTCCTCAGCAGGAGAAGGGCCTTTACACCTGTTTAAATCAATAGCGCTGCCTCATGAATCTGTGAGTGCTGGAAGGTCAAGCTACTCTGGAAGTTTCTCAAACCATTTCACAACCACCATGTGAATTCTGAATGCCGAAGCCTGCAAGTGAAGCCTACCACACCACTGTAATTACATTTGGTGAGCATATATTTTTCTCTCTATTTACATATAGACGGATGTTTGATTGAAAACCATAAACCTCTTTCAGATGCACTCATAGTAAATGACGGCAATTTCACGAATTGGTGTCATTTCTGAATTACTTCAAAATCACGATTGCAATCTTCGAGGACCAAGTAACATTTCAACACTGTCAACCTGACAAAAAGTCTGAACCAAATGCAGAATTAACATAGAAGTTAAAGCAGCTAAATACACCACTCACTGTAATAAACATCTCACATGTTAATGATTTTAAGTTGTCAAGGTGATTCTGATGTCACATCAGTCTAAATCAGTTTCATTAATGTGATGTTGAGGGGGAAATGGTCAAAAGCCCTCTGTACAGCCTTCCTAATGATAATCATGGCTGCCTATATAAGCTGCCAATGACCCTCTGGGTCTCCAGTGAGGGGAGGTCACTAAACCTACAGATTAGGGGAAGGACAATGGTGACTCAGTAGAATAAGTTGGTCTGCCTAAGGCCGGCTACAGACTGTGCAATTCTAACAATCTTATGAGTTAACAGCTAGCTGCACTGTACGTCATGAATCCAATAAACTTTGGGCACGACGTGAAGTTTGCTGTGTGCAGATTGCATGAATCACAGCCTACGATTTATGTGAATCAACGTGAATACGCAAGAATAAAACGTCATAAGCATTCATTCAAGAAAAAGAAACTAGCGAAGCATGAATGGAGCCCTCGCCCTTGTGGCATTTATGTGTTTGGAGAGAAATCCAAAAAAAGGAGGAGGAGAATATGGATGTGATTTGGAAAGAGAGGCCAACTTGGGATGCCAGTTTAGCAAAGGGAAGTACTTGTTAGCATCTACTAGCATTAAACGTTATTCCAGTGTTGCACTGATCAGTACAATATTTCATACTGCATTTCTATTGGTTAGTTAGTTGACGTAGGTCGCAGCAGCAGTCACACTGTGAGATGATTGCCCCAAATTTTTGACACTGTCAGAATTTTATCGCAGGTTGTCTTTAGTCGCAAGACCATGAAAACGGCCGTCCTTGAACCTGTCTCACAGTGCGATGTAGGATCACCGATTTAGAGCCAAGACCAAAGATATTGCCATGATTCCCTCACGATTGTTATCTTTTGTCTGGGATGGCCAAATGATCGCACAGTGTGGAGGGAGCTTAATGTCCCTGAAGACTTCCCTTCACTCCTACACCCGGCCTTGCACTGGAACCTTTTTCTTTCTTCCATTGAGAAACAGGTCAAGCCTCTCCTAACCGAGGGTCCTCTTGTAAAATCATAAACTGTTTATCTATAAAAGTAGATACACAGGGATACTGACCTACACAAGGCCATGACATTCAGGAAAAAACTCTTGTTAAGACAGACTGATCAGTAAAAGAACAACAATCACAAACATATACATGCAGAAGGCGGATCAAACTGCTATATATCTGTTCTATGCTTGAGAGAGTGTAGCATTCAAAATAGGAGCGTAAAAGTATGTGTATTTTTTGTAGAACTGTCACAGTACTTTACTACAGTAAGGTGCATGTAGATGAACAGAGGAAGCGCAGTACAAAACATGATTAATGGACTATGGCACCAATTTTCATAAGCATGAGTTCCACCTAGAAACATCAGGCTGTAAAGCCTTGATGAAACTCCATTGCAGATGTGCACATGGACAGCTGTGAACACCATGATGTGTAGTTGTCAGTATTGTACTATTTTCTAGTCCGCTGAGAGGACTCTGTTCCATACATGCTCAGTTGGTTGTATCTATGTATTCTGCACACTACTGCTGAGCCTGTGTACAACTTCTCTCTTTGCATAGTCGCCACGGGAACAAAAACTTTGGAACGCATGT